GTTTAGGAAACTAGATGATTGAATCTAGATTTGTTTAGTTTTTTTCACTATTGAAGAAAAAGTGATGCAGATTTAATTCATCAGAAGATGAATATGCTGTTGTATGACTTTAGTGTGGACATTTGTAGACTCTTTATAAATGATGATCCAAGACTTAGACTGTTTTAGATGTCAGCCCCTTCCGTAATTTGATTTAGACCACCCCGCTTTAAATCAACTGTATTAGAGAAAAAGCTTTTAAGGGAATTGCTGAATATAGAAATTGCTCACCAACACAAATAAAAAAAACATTTACGTCTCTAACATGCGAGTAAAGCCGGTCTTTCCCTCTTTCTGTCAGGTAAAAACATGCTGATGGTGAGCGTGCACGGCCCCCACATCCCCTGTGAGGAGGTCCTGGTCAAACACATGGGCAGCCTGCAGTACAACGTCAGCTACCTGCTGAAGGAGCGGGGCGACTACATCCTGGTGGTCAAGTGGGGCGATGACCACATCCCGGGGTCCCCGTTCAACATCACCGTCCCCTGAGGCGCCCGCCAAAACCCCGTCCCACTTACAGAGCTTCAGGGAGCAAGCTGCTGGAAAGAGTTCAGAATGCCCTTAATTTAAAAACCTAAAAAGCTTAAAAAAATGTAAAAAAAGATGTTTTAAAAACACTAAAAGCATCAAATCAGAGGTTCTTTGAAAAAGGAAAAAAAAAAAAGTGTAGTGTCTTGGGGAAGCAAAATGGTAGATGCTATAATCTTAAATTAAAAATGAGAAATTAACTTAATTGTTTGTTATTGCTGCCTGGACATCGATTAATTAAATTAGTATTTTTTTTTGTTTTTGTTTTTTTGCACTTTTACACGTTGAATTGGTGTTAATGTCCAAACACTCGTTGTCTTTCTGTGTGTAACATGTTAAACTGGATCTGTGAGACTTTTTTAAAACTGAGATGAGCACATCCAAGTCTTGAAACGCATCTGGAATACCGGCTCTTTTCTCCCGGGAACAAAATAGGGAGACGCTGATTTAACGGCTTCAATCCTTCAGGTTTTACTGCTTCCTGGAAGACGCGAGTGATGCGTTCTTAGAAGTGCGTAAAGATGTGAGCAAACTGGAATTCTTGGTTTGGCTTCAGTCCAGCGTCAACTTTGTGCAACTACTGAGTTATTGTGTATTTGTTGCGATCGGTTTCCGAGTTGACTCTGAGCTGCCTTTGAACTACTGTTTCCTGCACTGTGACACAGGACTCGACACGCTGGAGTTCTCCTGTTCCTTCCTGTATGATTTGACTTTGTTTCTTTGTCTTTTTCGGTTCATGATTTTTGGATCTGAGCTCAAGAATCCGATTTTGTTTGTGTGTAAATTCATGAAGAAATCTACACGATCCTGCTTCGTCCTAACCCTGATATCACACTCTACTTTTGATATTTTACGATGAGGACTTTTGTATTGATGCTTTCCGTTTTGTATTAGGAGTTGGCGTTTTAATGTGAAACTGAAAGCTGATCTGATGTACTGTACATTTGAAAATTAAAATAAACTGGAATGTAAAAAGAAAAACCTCAAATCTCTTGAATTTAATTTATTTTCCTGCATTAAGGCTTATTGCTTTATTCAGGAAGGAGGAGAATGTCTGCCAACCAAAGTAAGATATTCTATTCATGTTACCTTAGTGGAGCAATTACCATTTCCAAACTAATTGGAGTCCATGGCTCTAGAGAAAGGGGAAAAGATTCACTAAGACCCCCCCAAGGTAAAAAACCAAAGAGCTACAGGTACATCTCAAACACATTGGGCTCAGCAGGTTAAAGGTCATGATGGTTCAGTCAGAAAAAGACTGAACAGGATGAGGTTATAAAGCAGATTCACACTTTTGGATCTTGGGGATTCACAGAATGCATATACTCGTGTGTGTGTGTGTGTACGTATGTGTGTGTGTGTGTGTGTGTGTGTGTGTGTGTGTGTATATATATATACACACACACACACACACACAGCCAATAAAAATGTACTTTTTGTACTTTTTGATCCATATGCTCCTCCAAATGAGGTTGAGGTTAACCTAATTGGTGTATATACCAGCTGTATTTGTGATTTTGTGGTATACAAAGATTCCTTCAATTTTATTTAAAAAAAGAAAAAAAGAAACGGCAATTTATTTTTATTTTTTTAAATCATGTGACGTAAACATTCCATCCATTGATGTCACTCACTGTGACATCACTGTCACCATGACTGTGATGTCACAGTGAGTGACATCACCGTGACATCACTGCAGG